CAAAGGCCCACCACCTGGACCCAAACCCACACCAATCTCAATCCTTACTGCGGATTCTGCAGGAACTGTTGGGCAAAGATCTCATGCAGTGACAGGACTTGCTTCTATGAGCCAACAAGTTTCCCAGCTTTTCATGTCGTGCCTTTGGCTTACCATTCTAGCACGTTCATGACCGTTTCTGTTTTTTGATTGTGGATCCTAGGCGTGGTTTGTAAAAGCAATTGGTTTGCTTGCTGACAGACTGCGAAGTAAGTGGCACGCCCACCACAGGCGCGACAAGAATGGAGGGGTTATGAGCAGAGAGAAGCTGAAGTGCCTGCTCCAGCTGCCAAGCTGTGGATAGCAAAGCTTTGCCACTTCGTTGACTTGTTTTGTAGGTCGGTTCAGCAGAATCTGGACCAACACGTTCTGACATGTTGGGGAGGATTCTATTGGAGAAGCACCAGGGCAAGACGCGGCTGAACTCTGGTCAGCTTGACCGTGTGCTTGATGCCTTCATGGATGAGAGATCAGCTCCTTGGCAGAGCACACATGAAGTTTCTGGCCGCTGGGGGCCGCGTGGCAAACTCTCTCATCATGAAGGTTCCTGGACTTAAGTCGTGGATGCACATGCCGAGGAAGGTGGTGACAGGATTGAAGCGTGCCAGTTTGTCGAGTGGACTTGGGGTGGCTGGGTCCTAAATCGTCTGCGGCCACATACTATTTTTTAGCCAGGAAGAAGTGTCATGCATGTGAGGCACCTCGGGCAAGTGAAGAAATGTCGCGTGATGGGCTTCGATTGCTGTAATGGAGGTCCAGACAGAGACATCATTGATTGCAATGAATGCTTAATCATGCACACACGAAGGATGCGCAAAGGATGTTCGTCTGGCTGGGACTGCATGTCTGGTCCTTGATAATGACATACAAGCTGGAATTGACACCAGTGCAGAATTCAAAGTTCGTCATGCCTAGTTTTTTGCCAGAAGTCGCTCCTTAGGAGTCTTGATATAGAGTTTCACCAAGCAATCCTGCTAGGAAGGTCTTGCAAAGCAAGGTCTCGAGGCTTTGCTTGGATAGTTTGTTTGGAGACTCTTGCGCTGCGTGCGCTTTTCGGCGATCAGGTCGGTGGTAGCAGTCAGGAAGCCCTAAGCAGGAGCAGGTCGAGATTGAGGCAGGTGCAAGATCCTGGACCAGGCTGACATGTGTTGCTTGAGGGCGCTGCAGTGAAGGCACGGCCCAAGTCTTGTATGTCTCAGGTTGAGGGTGTGTTGCTGGCATGGTGGCACCTGCTCTGATGTCCAGTTCCAGCGCAGTGGGTTCGATGTCGGCCGCCGCTGGAGCAGTAGTGGCCAAGCTTTTATGCGCAGACAGCGATGTGCAGGCGCATGGTCAACGCCTGGAGGAGGTGAAGAGGCAAGCGACGCAAAGTAGTCCCGCAGCAATTGATCCAGTTGTAGCCGTCCGCCATATGCTTGAGACGGTGGACTGGGGATTAGCAAACGAGGGGAGGTTTCGGCTGCATCGTGCAAGTGACTTTCTCAAGGAGTGTCTCACATTGAGGTGGAAAGAGGAGTCAGAGGCACAAGTTCTAAATGGCTCTATCGAGAAAGAGTATGAAAGACACTTGCATAAAGTGCGGCATCTGTGCATTGCCCCCAGCAGCAAGAAGGCTCCAGTGCTCCGTCCAAAGGTGTATTCTGCGCACTCTGTTGAGCAGCCAACAGAAAAAGACGGGAGTCAGAGACTGTTCGATCCACAGCACGGCACCGTGCGCGACAAGCTTGGTCTATGCGCTGCTCTAGCTTACGTCGTCTATGAGTTCTTGCAATTGCGGCATGCAGCATGTGGCAGCTTGCAAGACTCCCCCCGCAGGTCCCTCAGACTTGCACTTACGGCACTATCGCAGCACGATGCGCTGGCCAAAGGCAAAGAAGGAGAGTCAACAGCATCGCTTGGCGGAACGCAGAAGGGACACAGCTGGTGGCAGAAGGCTGCTTGTGCTGAGACGGATTTTCGCAGCGCAGCCATAACATTGATCTGCATTCTTGATGCTGCGCTCAGCTGGAGTCCTCTGGATGTGTTCGGGTGGACAGGGAAGCCCGAGGATGTGGAATCAGCCTTGCTGGCTCGTCAAAGAGATGCATGCAGTTTTTCATTCTTCGCCGAGAAGCTGCGCACCTGTCTTAAGACTGCTTGCTCCGACTCTCTGAAAGCGACGTCTCGGATTGACTTTCACTTCGCAGCTATGCGTCGGCGAGACCTACCAAAGGAGTGGACCACAGCATGGGTCCGAAATGATGCTGGCCCAATGATTGTTCGAAACAGGACACAGGTGCCTTTGCGCATCGAGCTTCGGCAAGCGAATCAAGCTGAGGACCACAAAGCTGGGTCAATAGCTGGGATGCTTCTTGACATGTTTCAGCCGGTATCTGACCAGCCAGTTCTAGCAGCTCACGTTGAGCCCGGAATTGAGTGGGCGTTCCGCCCAAAGAAAGAGGCAGGAAGGGAGTTTCAGCTTCACATGCTGACGACCTCAGGCGTGCAGGTGTGTTCCCGTCGGCTTGCGCGAGGTGAGTCATTTGATTTCCATGTTGAGGTTCCAGCAAAGCCTGCGCAACTTCGGACCTGGATGAGGGCCAAGAAGGATGTTGAGTTTGAGCTGGAGCAGCTGGTGGCCTCGAGACGACTTAGTCAGGCCAGCACAGCGTCAACGGTCTCAAAAGCATCCTTGAGATTGTCGCATGTTGAATTGGCTCGTTCAGAGCAACACAAGGCCCAAGTCATGCTGCCAAATGTTGTCGATGGCTTCACCTCTTGCCTATGTCCACGCTGCCTTTCACTCATGAAGTGCCAAAATGCTCGGCCTCGTGCATCAGTTTACACAGGAGGTGTCAGCTGCGATCACTGCCATTTGAAGCTCCTCGGAGAAGAGCTTTCAGGGCAAACTGTGCAGATCGCTGGCGCAAGCGCATTCTGTCATTGCAGCCGTTGCCAGTTTGATCTTTGCCGTGCCTGTGCTTACGAGGAGATGCAGAGTGTATGGTGGACACAAAGATGAGTGTCCACTCAGCCAGCAGCTGCTGACCTGGTCCATTCGCTGGCATTTGATCGCGATCGCAAGAAATCAGGTCTTCACGAGGTCTTGAAGGATTTGACCCTGTGGTTGACTTTCGAGATGTTGCACAATGGAGAGCTGAGATGTTAGAATTCACATGATCCACACTGTGTAGGCGAATGGGATGAAGCCTTTCACAGCATGAGAGGTGGCCTGTGCAGAACCCTTATCAACCCCATGTCCGCAATCCCAGAGGCCTTTGTGCGAAGCCCTGGGCTGTACCCCGTGACCCACTGAAGTCCAAGACCCAAGGACGCTCAGGCACCCTAACGGCCCTGACGCCCTCGCTCTCTCTAAAGGCTAATCCTTTCCTATCCTTTCATGCCATCCTGTTTTCAAGATTCTTTGAGACTATTCCCTGAGACTGTGTAGCAGCAGAAGTTTTTGAAAGATAGTCCTCACACACCTTCGGCCGTTCTTGCTCAAAGCAAAGTGGACCCTTCTTGCAGCCTGGCAAGATGTGGATGCTTGGCTGTCCATGCAGGTATTTAAAGCAGCCACTTTCCACTCAGTGGCTTGGAGATGCGAGCGATGTGCTTGAAGCAGCCAAGGCGGGTGGTTCTGAAAGCGTGGATATTCGCCTCAGGGAGATGCCTAACATCCGCAGCTTGACTCGGCCTTGACCATGTTTCTATGCTTTCGTGCTGGTGGATTTGCTGAGTGGATGATTTTTGGATACTAGATCATGGACAATTTTAATGGCTAACGCGAGACCGCCTTGCGAGCGTGGTCAAGGCGAGTGAGCATGCTACAATAGCAGGGACAGCATTGGCCCGGACGGGCGCAAAGGCGCACGCCGACCCTCTCCCAGACCCCCTTCAGGCCCCCGGGATAGGGGGAGGGTTAACTAACTTACTCTCTAATCTCCGGACCTTGATCTAAACGCCCCAGGCCCGGTCTCGGTGGATTTCGGGACACTGAAGCTTTGTCAGTGGATTGCGGTAAGGCAACCCCCACACTTCGCGAAGCACTGCTTGTAGAAGCACGCCATAGGCTACATGACTGGTTGCCCGGATGCATGTGCGGCCGTTGATTTCCGTTGAAGCAACCTCCATGCCACCAAGTACATCGCAGGTTCCTGAACAAAGAGTGGGAGCAGCATCCACCGCCGAATGGCCGGTACCTTGCCGCAAATTAGGAGGTGTTCACTTATGCCGTAAGCGATGTCATGAAAGCCCATGCCACACCACAAGAGACCACTCCCGGCCTCATTTGTAGGCCGGATGTTTTTTCCTTCAGGAGGTATGAGTAACATCAGTGGCTGCTGGTTTTTGGGCAGTCTCTATAGGTCCTAGGAGTGTACCAGTTTGAGGCTGGACTGGCCCAAAGAGGAAGATGGTATCCAGCTGCAGATCACGACCAACAATTATGTTTGCCACTTGCCTTATTCTTCACTCATGGTTTCTACAGAAGTCGCTGGCTATCGCTGGCTACTGCGCGCAGGCGATGAGGAGGCAAGGATCACACCCTGGGAGGCAACGGCCAGTGCTCATAGCCCCATTTTCCCCGCAAAGATGGTTCTAAGGGCATCCAGCTCGACAAGGAGAACCAGCCTCCTCGCCCCGATGTATCCTGGACTTTCCAATTACTTGGCAGCTCGCTGTGCGCAATTGTCGACCTATACTCTCGCAACCTAGTGCTCCGATGGTCAGGTGATTCCAATCACATTTGGCCGATTTGACGTTCAGCCCCTTGCCTGAGATCCTTCAATGAAAGAAACAGGTGGCCCTGACAGCAGAAGAGTTTTGTACTAGCAGGGATGCAGATGTCATCGACGTCTTCAATGCCCTGGCCGACACGAAGGGTGAGGATCGCGGAACAAACAAATTGGTGGCACATGCACACGTACTCAATGAATCACCTGCAGGCTGAATGGGATGACCTTTTGATGAATGGCCCTGGCGTCACGTCCCCTGACTTAAAGACTACCCGTACTGTTGTACTAATCGCTTCCCCCCTGATTCAGGATCATCGCGTAAGTGCCATCAGTAGCCTGCTGCCATGATTGCTTTTGATCCTGCTATGCTCATATATGCTAAGTTTGGAGTCATATTGGAACTCTTACTTGCTTGCTCATTCGGAGGTACTTGGGGGACTTCCCGCAGGAGTTTGCCCGAGCAGCTGCTGTCAGTTTTGTGGCGCGTCCATTTCCAGACAGACAAGTTGCGTGGCCAAAGCGTCATTCTTGGTTTATTGCAAGTGTATTTGCGCTGAGGGTCTCCGCCGAGTCTAGAATGTGAATCAGGTTGTCCCTGCTTCTGTGCGACACGCCCGCAAAGTATAGTATACGTTGCGAAGGTTTACCAGTGGATGGTCTACAACTCGTCCAAGAGCTTTGATGACATGTGGCAAGGCTGCAATGGGAATATGCTGGCATGATGCAAGTCCCAAGAAAGCTGTCTTTCTCGGCTGCATTGGATCGCAAGGATGGTGGTCTACTCGACACGAAGAAATGCCGAGCTGTACAAGCGTGGTGTCGAACCAGAAGGTGCCCATACACTGCCCTTGACAAGTTTGTGCAGTGCTATTGTGATCAGAGCGGTCTGCAAGCAAGCGCCCCTGGTAGCAGGCAAGTAGATGTAAATTGTACAGGCTGGCCAGCTGTGCAGGCCCAGAACTGCCTCGGGCCGCTTGGCAGCAACTCTCACTTTTCAGATACGACAGCCTGTGCTTGGCGTCCAGCTCGCCATTCTCCACCGAGGGCCTACCACGTGGTTGCTTTGCCACAGGGTGGCTGTCATGCAGCTCTGCAGCAGGGGCGCATCAGCTGGCCTTGTTATCTGAGACTATCTGTTATCAGGTTGTCTTTACGACCATGGTGAACTCACACCCTCCGTGGCCGATCACTGCACAGTCCTTCGGCCTCCATGCGTCATGTGAACGTTGTAGATGCGCTCTAGGACCAGTCGATAGATGATAAGTGTAGAAGCTCAGCATCCTAGGTTTGTCTTCAACATTGCCTGGACAAAAACAGCGGAGTACATTCAGGAGCCTGTGAGCTATGTCCTTGCACGCACCTGTCAAACAAATGCGTCTGCGCCACTGGCAGAAACTTCGAGCACGTGCACAGCTCCTAAAGCGAAGGCGGCAAATGCTTCGTTTTGAGTCTTTTGATCATGCTGATATGCTCGCGCCGCGTAGGCGTCTCGCTGCAGGCGCTCCTGTCGAGCCTGCATCATGGCTGCAGATTGCAGACAGGACTTGGTACGACGTGCAAGAACAGGGCCTCTACCCCCAAAGTGCGCAGCATGCTGCCAGCTTGATTTGGATTGTTGATCGAAGACAGCTGTTTCCGAGGCAGTTCCGCGGTGGATGTTGTTCGACGGCATGCTTCCTAACAAGGCTGTGGATGGTATGCAGCAGAAGCCCGTAAGGTCGGTAAGAACAGCTAACACGAAGCAGACTGCTTCCGTGGGAAATGTTGAAGAGGTCACTCCTGGGAATTGGGCAGTTGGGGCAGAAGCCTGCTTGAGCAAAGCAACTGCAGTATGTATGAGCATGTCTAGGAATAATCTGGCAGCCGTAGCACCCAGTATGTGCTACATTCTAAGTGTTCCGCGCGAGACTGAATCTGGCAATTTCTTCGTGGAGGGCGTGCCAAAAGTCAACCCTCCTTTTCAAGGCCATGTTTGGGCGGAATCGTTGTCTAACCAGATGTGGTTTTTATATGGCGGTGAGAGTCCCGCTGTGCAGGACCCGATTATGTGGTTGCAGCTTGGTGCAAGGCTTGGCAGTCATTCCATGATCCAACCCAGCCTATGTGCAGCTGTACGGGACTTGTGGAACCATTCTGGGCCCGTTCTAGCGCTTGGATCCAAGGACGTAATTCAAATAGACCTGTTGAACGACTTGCTTCGCATTGCGAAGTCTGGCGGACTGTCCTCGACATGGCTTTGTGTGGCTCTGCTTTCGTCTAAAAGCTGCTCCGCACTTGTAGTGCATGTGAAGCGGTGCTGAGCACCCATCTAAGGCGCTTCTTGTGGTAGCCTTGGTGGCCTCAGCCGCTGCAGTTTGGCGGCGACGGAGGTTACAAGCATGGCAGTCTCTGGCAGGTGGGCATGTGTGCGTAATGGCGTAACGTCTTGAACATGGCGAATGATGTTGGAAGCATCCGTGGCTGAATTCGTGCATTTGCTAGACCCGCATAAGTGCCACGAAGGTGACGAGCTGGAAAAGGGGCTCAGCCCAGCTTTTGCCGAGTGACGCCCCTTGTTGTGCTTCGCAAATAATTCCAACCTACGCTCTCTGCATGCGCGAGTAGAGAAAGGCTAAGCGCCTGACAGGGGGCCTTACACACAGCCATGCAGTGCGATACAGTGCTTGTCTTTCCCTACCGCTCTGTCTTCGAGACCATCAGAGAATGATCTCGACCATGGCGCATTTTGCCGACTCCAAACTAGTGAGAAAGGTCATATTAGATGGCAGCTGCTCACTAGATGGCTCGTTATTGGCGGAAAAAGTATCAGGCCGAAGCATTCCATTTGCGCATGCCTCTCATGCTCTAAAAGCCTTTCTCCATCTCACGCTTAGCTGTCACATGTGGTGGTCCAGTGTCAGTGTTCATAGATCCAGATCAGCCAGCGCATGCTCAAGAGACCAAGCAAGAACACCCGAATGAGGATTGGCAAAGGGCTGACACAGTGCCACCAGATTCCTTGCAGAATCGCGATGTGCAACTGCGTGACGCTAATGTGTTCTTCAACACAAGCCACAAGCTACTGTCCACTACTTGCAGCATCGGTGACAGGATTCTCCTGCAGCATGCCATGGATTTTCTCGGATCACTGCTTTGGCTGGGTGCATTTGATTCGTCCAGTGTATGCCGTACCTGACCGAAGCCCTCGAGAGGCTAGGAAGGGGTGTGCGGCTATCAGTCGAGTCGAAGCTATCAGCTGCAATTGGAACCCCACCAGTACCCGACAAGTTGCGAGGCAGTGTGCGGCCCTGATTCTGAAGGCAAGCAAAACCCATGTGGACACCATCAAGTCACCCAGTTCGCCGATACCGACGCTCGGCTTGTAGAACCGCGGGTCAGATGCTGAACGAGAAAGTGCGGTGTGCGTTATTCTTCAGTAGCTTGTGCTCAGGGAGTTCTACCTTGAGATCGCGGAGAACAGTCCTCATGGCCAACAGAAGAAAGGGCAAATTCGTGAGATGTCTGATGCAGTGGCTGAGATCCATGCCAGTTTCTGCGCGTTTCAGGAGCAGCATCTTGACCACATACCTCATGGGATAGAAACACTTTGCCTTTTTCAGCACGTTCTTATGTGTTGTAACTCTCGGGGGACCTGCCTTTTTTCTACTGTTGCACGAGGAACCAGATCTTTGCCCCAGCAGCCCCAGTGCCATTGCCAGTTCTGATTGTCACTGGATCTCTGGGAAGTGGAAAAACGACTTTGATGAAGCGGCAGCCATGCTGAACTGATCATTCTACACGCTGGTAGTCATTTATCATTGGGGCAGTTGTGCTGGGTATTTTGAGGCTCATGAATCGACGGGCAAATCTGCGAATCGCAGCCTTAGCACACGACTTGGCCTCCAAGCTGAATATTGATGCTTCCTTCCTGGCGGCTGAGATGCAGCCAGGCGGGGGTACATGTGCACCCTTGTTTGTGTTGCTATGGCTCCCTGTGAGGCATGGGAAAGGGCGAGTACATGTTTCAATCCTCGGCATGGAGAGACGGCGAAGTTGCTGGCTTGTCTGGCTGTGCTGCCCAGCTGTCCAATGTGGGTGGGTCAGACTGACCATCTGAGCTGATCTCATGTCCGAGCTGTGTAGCTATAGTACCGAATCCGAGTGCAAAGGGGCCCAAAAAAGGGATATGGTGGGTTTGTAAATGTGCAGATCCTCATCTGCTCACCCATTCTTAGGCACTGGATCCCAGCATTGGTTCGCCATCCAGACTGGGTTCTCTATAGGTGCTCGTCAGGATGTTTTGCGAGCTTGCTGGCTGTTGTGTGCTGGATCAAGTTTTTTTTTTGAGACTCACTGGGCGTTGGGTGCTGTTGGGGGTGGGGCCTGATCCCAGCTTTGGGTGCTGGTTGTCCCGAGCGAACTGGTTGCTGTCTGGGCGCTGGATCCTGGCATGTACGTATTCGGTCTTAGCCTTGGTTTGCATCTTTTTGAGTGTTTGACTCCGGAGTTGAAGAGCGAAACGTGTTGAAAAAGGGTGCCATGGCAGATCTCGGATGTGAGCGATAAAAGTCAGGCTGAAAGCGCTTCAGCGGCGGCCACGGGATCTAGCAATGTCTATAAAAATCCTTCAGCAGCCGGCCTGGCGTTCCTAGAAAGCGGCCTCTTACTTTCACGCTCTCAATGTGCGCACCTGGCTAATAGTGCCAACATAATAATTGATCGTTTTCTTCTTACAGGTGCGAGCCAAAGCAGATAAACGGTTAACAGCGGGACTTGTAGGAGCCGCATCGGAGGTCATGGCCCGTGTCGATTTGCCTGGCATGCGGTAGAATTAGGAGCAGAAGGGTAGGCCATGTCTGCAGAAAGTTGCCGGTGTTTTTGCATGTGCACATTTCGCATTGAGCTGAAGTAAGGCTTGCTGTCCGGGCTTCGATGACGCGCTCAGCTTGGCTGTGAAGACGGCCTTGCGGGAAGGTGCCTGCAGAGCAACAGCAGAGTGCTTGGGGAAGGTTGTCAACCTCCAGGTGCAGACAGGGGCCTGTTGGATTACTTGCTCTTGGAGACAAGTGGAGCGGCCGACCCTCGCCAAATTGTGGCGGCCTTGGAGGCCAGCTTCGCAGACTCCTTCGGGCTTCACAGCAGTTGTTTGGTGCTGGCCTGCTGGAGTCTGCTGGAGGTACGCTTTGGGCCGCTGGCACGAGCCAGACTGGATCGGGTGGTAACCGTGGTGGACGTAATTTGGCTGCAGTGCCAAATGTTTTCAGGAGCAGCAGTGCCAGAGTTTTTGAGTCAATGTGAACATTTCGCGATGCATATCACATCTTTCGTTGCAAAAAATGATGGCGGGCAGCACAAGATTTCACAGCACGGTGGCTCTCCGAACGTTCCCTCTCCACTTCAATCCGCCCATACCGGTGATACGGCAGCAAGCTGGAAACAACAATGCAACTCCGTGACTTGGATGGATGAAATCCAGCATGGAACGGTGCTCATAAATTTGTTTCTCTTCCAGCAATGCTAGATTCATCTGAACTTCTTCCTTGGGACGTGGCTTGGATTCATGGGATTGTGCTACATCTCCAATAGCGTTCCAACGACATTTCTCCGAATGCAGAGGCCCACATAGCCTTCCGCTGAGCTTGCTCTTTCTGCAAGGTGTCAGACGGTTCTTAGATTTGGACACAGGTTTCTCAAAGATCTTGATGCGAGAAATCGCTCCTCGCCTGAGGCAGAGCGTGTTCTTTCCGAAGGACAGCATTGGCTGGACCAAGCAACCCAGGCACTGCCCCGCATGTCTGATCTCCAACGCAATGTCCTCTGCCCAAAGGCATCTGCATCCGTCACCCGGCGGGATGAGTTTCAACTGCAGCTCGCTCAGCTTTCAGTTGCGGACGTCATTCTGCTGAACAAGGTCAGGACTTTACAGTGCTATTGCCTGCGCTGTTGCAGAGGGTTGTCAGGATTGTCCCACCAGGTGGATCTTTGCAAAGAGTCGGGGAAGGCATTGGAGCTGCTTCAACGGCTTTGCCCACAGGCGAAGGCCCGGCAAAGGTTTCTGGACACTACCTGGCTGAGAGAAATTCAGTCTTGAAGGTCCTTAGCTGCTGCTATGGCGATGTGCCCGTGCCAGAGCTGCTGGATGTGGTGCCAGCACCTCCATCTGCCAGCACAACTGTGTCCCATGAGGCCGCGTAGGGATGAAAGCCAAAAAGCGTTCATTTGCACAAGCTGCTGGGCTGGCAGGACATCCCGTCCTGCTGGCAGGCTTGGTTTTCGATTGAAGTGTCTGCTACAGCAGAACAGCACCAGATGTGTAAAGGTCTCGACCAGCCTGGAATCCTCCAGGGAAAGTCGAACGGCACAGCTGCCCGGAGGTCCAGCAAAGCTTCATCACCGCGTGCTAGATGCTCTGAGGATAGATCTCAGTTCAATCGTTCAACCGTTCTTGTGGCTCTGGGTCATCTCACATAAGTACTTTGAGGAATGGTCAACTCACGGTGAAAACAAGCCAGTGCAGCTCGGCAGGCTCCAGCACATGCCGCTTGCTGCAAATGGTTCATGTATGTTCAGTGGGGACATGCAGCCGATGCAGTCTGAAGTCATCTTTTCGACTCTGCTTCAGGCTCTGCGTGCACATCCCACGTGTGAGGCAATGGCTTCGGAGAGCAAAAGGCGTGTTATGGGTTGCAGCACCTTGTTGAAGCAAGTTGCTACAAAAGATTCCGACACAGCTAGGATGGTGCAAGTTGAGCAATCACTACCTGCTGAGGAAGACCCCCGTGCAAAGTGGGAATGGGAATTGAGCGGACAACTTCGCTACAGTTGTCGACGTACACCCAGTGGCTTTGGTGGCGCTCAGGCTTTCAGCAGCCTTGTGCCTTGACGAGGTGTTTTATCCTTGACAGAAGACGTACATAAAGTACTAAGTACTGGCACAGGAGGGGTGATCCTGGCAATCTGCAATCGCAGAACCACATGAGTTTGAGTTGATGTCACACTTGTTTTTCTTGATCCCATCTGTCAAATTCAAACAGCATCTGTGGAAGGTGCTTGTGTGCGTGCGCACTCAAGTGGACGCACTTAAAAACCAGGAAAAGCTTACCTAGCAGTTTAAAATCGAAGGTCCTGATATTCGCTCATGGTGACTCAGCAGAGGTTAGCGGAGTATCCAAGACTCAGATGTGTGACGGACGAAGTGCTTCAGAAATCTGCAGTGCAGACTAAGGTGTGCCAGATGTCGACCTCCTTGAAATGCAAAAGGTGCTTGATGACCTGACGGCGCATCCCCCACAAATGTCCTTGCAAAAGGATCGTTTCCCTGAGCATCTTCAGCAGTCGTGCCATGCTAATCGCCTCACGTTTTCTCTCCAGGATATTCTGCAACCGTTGATGGACGGGAGCCCGGATTTCGAGATCCTTGACACACCAAGCGACCAGCCAGACGGCTGCATGCGATTTCGGCTCACAGGTGGGCGCCATCTTTTGCCAGCTGATTGCTTTTCACCTTGGCTTGAGTGCTTCCTGTGACAGGCCGAAAATATTTTCATCTGAGCAACGATACCGATCTTTCAGAACCGCCCTACCGCACCCTGGAGACATGAAATAAGCACTGTGCGCATGTACGATTTGCAGTTTTTTTTGTGAGCTGAAGTTGCGAGAGACTTGCTTAAAATACAGGGTCTTCACAGATTCGGATCCAGATCCTCTCCCAGCATCCCTCCCATTCCCAGGTATCGACCTTGACACGCTGAACAGGGACCTCGCTCAACTAGTGAGTGCCGAGAAGGGTGGCATCTTCTTGGCAACCGGACCCTCTTCAAATGCTATGCCTGCTTCGTGCTCTAGGGCATTAGGCTTGCCAGAGTCCTTATCTTCAGCGTGTGAATCATGCTAGCAGAGGAGAGGGCATTTGCAAAGTTGCTCGGCCGCAAATAAAAAAGCGGGGGGGGACAGGCAGACAGGCAGACCTGAGTTACAACTCATATTCAGCCTTCATGCGATGCAGAAGCTCGCGTAGGAGTCCAGCGTTGCATGATGTGCCACGTGCACCTGTAAGGACAGAGGCCAAAGAGTTTTGGCTTTGCTGTGGCCTTTGGCCTGCTGGAAGCACCCAGAAGGCTTCCGAGACGTGTCTGTCGGAGAGACGTGTCCTCGTACGCGTCCGTGCTCAGGTGTGCCGACGCCGCTGCAGGTCGTCCTAGCTGCAGCAAGGGCAGTTGCTCCGGTGCTCTTGCAGCAGTGCCCCGAAAGCTATATGGATTTGTGGGACAACACAGGTGCAGAAAGTGCGTTGTTGCATGCACTCAGGTATTTTGGACACGTGACAAGCTGTCATTGCGGCCAATGAGTTGCAGAAAAGAGCTACCAACGACTGAAATCTCTGCCATGGTGACTGCCGAACATTCAATGGACATGGCCTGCCATGACCGGTGAATAGCTTCTGCTGCAATTGCGTCAGCATGCCGCAGGGATTTCTCCAGCATCTTTGTTAAAGCTTATGTTTGAGATCTAAGTTTAGTTCGCAGAGCTTTCCACTGGCGATTTCAAAAGTGTCTGCAAAGAACGTCCCAAGATACCTGATATAGCACAAATTACTCGGCATAGCGGCGGGGCGACTCATACGCATGATGGCTTGAGACGCGGTCCATGACCGAGACGGGACCATCTGCGATTCGAAGACTCTCGCTCCAGGCCGCATGCCTTCCCTCTCGAGCCTGGTAGTCTGAAGGGTGAATGCAGTGGCTGAGGTACAGGAAATTACAAATCCCTCAGGTTGCTCGAATGCAAGCTTTTGTGCAGGATAGCTGTTGGCTGTGCCATTTGCCCAGAGAACACCTCAAGGTGTCGAGAGGGAGAGGCGGCCTAGCTTCCTGCGAAAGACGGTGTCCACAGCCATCCGCGGCAATGAGGCGAGCGAGGCCATTGTGTGCTTCACGGCAAAAGCTTTGCAAACCAAGGCAAGGCAGAAATGGAAGCAGCTAGAAAAGGCCAGAGCAAGTTGTGAAGATGTCGAACAACAGCCGCTGCCTCGAAATCCAGAATGCTGGAGATTTGGAATCATCCTGCCTGGCTCAGGCCCGTGGTAGATTATCTTGAGCCGCAGCTGGGGAAGCTGTCGAGGCCCGGACGCCGTGATTTGCAGAACTTGTGTTACTGGAGCTGATGTGGCTTGAGAGGATTCTCAGCTCTGAGGTCACTAGGTTTGGAGGACCACTCCGGAGCAAAGACTCCCCGGCGAAGTTTGAGAAACACTTCATCAGCAGTGGCTTCCTCAGCATTCAGACAAGATCGCTTCCCACATGCGTCTCCAGTACCAAGGTTTTTGATGCCTATGCAGGCAAGGAGGTACTGTCTGATGTGCCGCTCTTCAAGGATTGCTCAGTGAAGTTCCTTGAGGCGACGGGCCAAGATCCTTGAAGCAACATGTGTCAGGGAGTTTCTCAAAATGGTCCCTTAACCGCAGTAACCCGTAAGATGGGCCCCTACAAATCCCTCAAACCCCCAACGCATGGATGCGTCAAAAGTGTCAACAGTCACTGGGGTGGGCTTCTCATGGTCGTCATTTTTGGCACCTGAAAGTCGCCATCCTCGTAACTTTTGTCACTGTTAGCCCCTCCTGCTTTCGTCGTGTCTCAGAAGTACCAACAGTCATACGGATCGTGGCGATCCTCATCACGATCCTCGCAACTGTCGTCGCTTGTTCAACCTCCGCTTGCTGTCTACTTCAAAAGTATTCACAGTCACAGGGATCGGGTGTCGTCCTCATCTTATTAGAAAGGGAAACTCGCGCATTAGCATTCAACTTGGTTATCAGCGACTGGCACGTACACCTGAATAGAAGGAGCAGACCTTCACATCCATGCACCTGGCGGGAAGGGTATTTCACGCAGTAGGGTTGGGCGTGCTAAGCCTACAAGATAGCCACACCATGGTGAGGGGGCACCAGCTCTCCAGGCTAAACCTTCTTCAGCATACCCCTGTGCCCTCCTTTCCTGCCAGGCGCTGTCTGCAAAAGTTCACACTCGCCTTGTCGAGCCTGGCACGGACATCTACCTGGAAGGGGATCAAGGCGTTGCAAAGTTTCGGGGCTTTAACTCAGGGGGACATGTCTTCGGGTGGATGGTGTCTTTGCAGAGTACCATTCGTGTCCCTTGGGTTCTTCTAACTTAGTGCACGGATGGCAGCTTTCACAGTGTTTTCATACCGCATGGGCATTGCTCTGCTGCCAAGTCTGATCACGATGCTGCGAGTGAGCGGCCTGCTTAAGCCAAGTCCTCTCCTGTGCAACGTGTGGGAAAGAGACATGCGGACAAGCACCACCAGAAGTCTGCAAGATGCAGGAACGAACGCAAAGCATCTGCAAAGCAGAAAAAGTGCCAGGCAAACTAGATACGGCAGCGTCTTACTGAAACGTCGCCTGAGAAGCCAGTGGATAGAGACTCCACAGAAGCGGCAGTTCCAATCTCTTGCAAACTGAAAACGGTGGGAGAGCCCTCCCGTGTGAAGTGAGACCTTTTATTGTGAGGCAATTTCCGTAAGATCTTTTTGTGCGAATTGGCCAGGTGACAGCCTGTTCTTCTTATCAAGGGGCGAGGTGGAAGTGCGCCATGGTGACGAGGTTAAATCAACATGTCAGGTGGGATGTAGCATCTGCTCGCATCTGTTGGCATGTTCAGTGCATTGCGTGCATTCCGTGCTCGGGAAAGTGGAAGATACTGGCAGGATGGTGAAGTCTTTGGAGAGATGGCCGCGGTCAGTAAGCATCCCGCTGCGGCGAGCCTACGCTCATGCTTCACCCACGGGTTGGAGATGATTCGAGCATGGCATCGCTTTTGCACCTCGCGCTAAGTTGACGACGCGATCTGCAACGGTTCGGGCGACCGGCCTTTGTGATTTCAAGGTCCTTCAGCGTGATGATTTGCAACAGGCCTGGTTGCCCTTGGATCATTTGGATGGTAGGCAACCATGAGGTGACGAAGGGGAGACACTGGCTGTTTGATCAGGTGTTGAGCCACTTCAGAGAAGATGCACCCGGTCTGCTGATTCGAGCTTCCTGAGTCACAGCCCACGCTTTGCTGCACCTGTGTTCACCGCAATGCGGCGCCTCATGTCCACTTGTCACGCGTCCGTACAGCCTTCCTTGTCCGCCTTTCACCTCAGAGGAATGTATGTTGCGCTGTGCCGATGCATGTAGCTAGATTGGCTTGACAACGCAGCTGTACAAGGAGAGTTTCTTCTTTGCCATTTCGAGGCAAAGCGACTGGAAGACAAGGTGGAGCGCCACATCGAAGAGCTTCGCGAGCAGGGCGCCCTTCCTGCTCGTAGGGCTTCTTATTTGCAAGATGGCGGGCGAAGTAGAATTCTTGCTTGTGCTCCCTGTTGCAAGCTGGCCACAAGGAAAGGTGGTCCTTGTCTCAACGCTTGTGCCTCTCGTTTGTTTGTTGCCGCGCAAGGAATGGTGGCGACTGGACACGTCGGAGAAAAGCCGCTGCACTGCCATAGACGGCAGCAGTTTAATGGGCCTCATCTCGTTCAGAGTGGTGCAATTGTAAGGACGGTCGTCAGCTACATCGATTGCTTCGGCCACCTCAGAGGGAGGCTTCCGTCAGAGTGCCTGGAAGCGAGCTCTTTCAGGCAGGGTTTATGTCATCACTGACGCTGTGCAAACTGACATAGACTTTGACTGACTTTGAGGGATGCCAGGCCGCTTCCAAGCTACTAGTTACCATGCTGCGCTCTTGTACGAGGCATGGGGCTGGCACGCAGACTATCGCATTCTATTCAGAAGCCACACGCCTACACAATGGCGATGTCTGCAATGGCGGGTCTGGCCAGTCATGCAGCACCTGGCTTGCCAAATCGTGGTCGCCGGATGAGTTGCTTTACTACATGGCCTTGAACAGCATTTGAACGGTCGTGAAGCATTTCACGTGTCGAACATTTTGTGAGGTGATGGTATGCTGCTGGTGCGGCAACCAGAGAGGCCAACTTCCACATCCAGCTCCTTGGTTTTTGTTTGAGGACACTGTCGCATACCCTTGGTCTTGGGGCAGCAGGTTGCCAAGAAAACTGACAGTCTACAGTCTACAACACTGAAGCGGTCTTGGAGCCAAGGCGTTGCAAGTTTGCAGTCGATATGTGAAAGGCAAGACCCATCTGGTGAGGGTCAGCTTAACGAAGAGGATGATGGCGGGCGTACTCTGGTAGCAGGCGCTTGCCATTGCTTGCTAACGGATGTTGTGACTAAGTCGAGGTAGCAGAAGCATTTCGTCGTCAAGCTCATCCTCAGGGAGCTCGCAGACCTCAGGGAGCAGAAGCAATCCCGAATGGGCCTTGATAGCAGATGACGCAAGTTCGCGAAGGCGAAGCAGTGCGGAGAGCCTCGAGCTCGATGTGGCTGAGGCGCTCGCAGCATCCCGGTGAGTTGAACCGCTGTCAAATTGAGGTGAAAGGAGATGAAGCAAGAGAAAACCTTTTGGTTGGCACTCTGCAATGTAACTCCGAACCAGCAATCGCAAGATTGGGAGGTTGGACGTGAGAGGGTAGGCAGGACCAGGATGCTCTCTGAGAGGTCTGGTGAAGTCATGTTAGGGACACGGCTGGTCTATGACGTGTGGCTAGATGGTTGCATGCCTCAAGCCTTTGGACAGACGGATGTTGTGCGCAGCTTGCAAAAACAAAGTAAAGCTCCAAGGACATCTCCAAAGACAACGGAGGTTCTGTGCTAAACCATAAAATGCTGAGAATTTTTGGGGGGCCCAGGAAGAGGATCTGAATATGAATAACCTGCTCATGTTCAAGGATGCAAAGGTGAGTTTTTCTGGTCAAGCTTCAGTCTTCAAGTGCGATAGTTCATGGCCAGAGTTACGTTATGGATGAACATCCTGCTTCAGGTGTAAACCTGGTCTGCCAACCTCTTGTGGTTTGATCTAAATGTTGAAGATGTTGTGAGTTGGCTGCAGGCCAGCCACTCTATTCGAGTTCTAGATCCCGAAGAGAGTGAACACGTGGAGAGTACCTCCGGCTGCAACATAACCTGTTGCACTTCATGCGCAGGATTTGTTGAAGAACAGTATTGCTAGCATTCGCTCTAAGGAATTGATCCTCCACCTGCTGCCTCTGCAGATGTGAACATTGCTAGCAAGTCAGAGCAAGTACGCTGAGACTTGGCTGTAACTTTCGTTGAGGCCATTAAGGCAGATGTGCTCATCGAAGTTGGAATTGGATCAGGCCTCTCTTTGCTCCTGGACATCTGGTCGCCGAAGCTCGCAGAAGCTGCTGCAAATCCAGGCAAAACTCTTTTTGTGATTTGTAAGCGCTTGCGCAAGTCCCACGAAGCAAATTCTACAATGGAGAACTGCTGCTTCCCTTTGTTTGTCTCAGCTTGTTTGGAGCTGTTCTAAACATGAGTTTCTCAAGAAAGCATGCTGTACCATCAGAGCGAGACGTCATCTCAGCTCACAGTGATGTGCGCAGTTTCTGGCGTGTTTTTCGTAGCTTGCCAGTAGAGATTCAAGGAGGGCCTTGGGATCCCTGAGTTCTTAAGCGTCATGACCAATTTGCATCAGACTCGATAGTTGAAAGCCGGAGAGCATGGCAGGCGAGATTGTTGCCACGCTGAAGATTCAAGACGAAAGCGTGGCCTGATGTGAACTCAGATTGCCTGTTATGTGAATCGGACTGTATCCAATCCAATCCAGGCACGAAGCGTAAAGCGCCAAATAAGCACGGTGTGCGAAATCCGGTCCGTTCAGGACTTGAAGCTCACAGCTCCCACGCTACCATCGCTTGAGCGTGCGGCCAGAGCTGATTCTGCACCGCGACAGTCCGAAAGCCAGGATGTGACACTTGCAGGGTGTAGTTACTTGCCTGGAATCATCCTTCTCAGGAGTCCTTGAAGACTGTCGCCACAGTGAAGCTGCCAAGTCCAAGCAGCCGTCCAGAGCATGCACGACGGCTGCTCAGCAGCACTTGTTTTAGAGTAGTTGAATCTGCAAGGCCACTGCTTGCGTGGGGAAGCAAGCCAGGTTCAAGCACGGTAGGGTACTGCCGACCTGATAGCCAGAGTGATGCAGCAGAGAAGACGGTCTATGAACGAGTGGGTGGATTCTTGCAAGGATGCAATGGACGAACAGAAAACCATTGAGTGAAGAAGGAGTTGGGAGGTACAGAAAACTCACAAATTGGCTATGAGACTGAGGCAGTGAGTGAAGTCTGTGCGTGGAAGTGCCTAAATTGGGCAACGTGCTTGCATGTTTGATAGGGTGCATGGTCAGGAATGGAAATGAATGATGGAACACTGCAATCCCTTCACGCACTCAACCAGCAGCCGCAGCAGTAGTTGATTGGATGGCTGTTTCATACCTTCTCTCACATCATGTCAGCCTGCCTTGCTTTCGATCATCCGGCCTCCACTCATTTTTTTGTTCGATCCCGCATGCGTGCTGAATCATGCAGCATGCATTCCTATCTTCCGTCCCCCGGTCACTCACTCGATCACTCATTCACTCACTCATTCACGCCTCATACAGGTTATGCCGAATTAGCTTCTTCCCACTTCGTTCATTCTTAAGTGTCATGCCGCCAGAGCAGCTTTCGTGAGAGTTGATCAGAAACTTTGCTGCGTCATGGGTTGAGTTTCACTGTTGTTTTTGCATCTATGGAAATTTGTGTGCTGCAAGTTGCCGATGGCTCTCACGACAAGCTCACCTGGTTGGGCTCTGCTTGCACTTCGATCCTTCTGAGTTGTGATGGGGCATGCATCGTTGCTGGATTCATTCATTTGCGGTGTTCGGGTGGAGATTATGCTTTTCGGCTTTCGAGATGTGATGCACGACGCCTGTTTTCCCTGCATGCATTACAGGGAATACTGCATTCTTAGATTCTGTCACACGTGCCTTCAGTCTATTCATTCGCTCTATGACTTGTGCTACCACTGTTCGTGGCTTTGCTTTGTGTCCGTTGACTCTTTGTGGGTCTCATTCGTTGATGCATTCCCTCCAGTCAATTTTGCGCACGACAAACACAAGGCTGTATTCCTGAATCGCCGGACAGCACCAGAGACGGTGTAGGTGAGTGAGTGACTGAATGAGCGACTGTCAGCATAGGCGAATACCGGCTGGGTGCAGACGTAACTTAATGCTGAGACGCGATTGCACGTGCGGATGGCTGTGCTTGTGCATGTATGAAAATTTGAACAAATTCAGCGAAACAACGTTGAAGAGAGAGGCGGGTGGGCTAGAGATCAAATATATATATATATATATATGTATTTTTGCCGACCGGCCGAACATCTCGTGAGTTTCCTGCATGAATGAAGTCCTTGAATTTAAACGTGGTCCGCAGCACCCACCTCGAACAAACAGCTCACGTGCGTGACAGGCTCCTCAGCATGCGCGAGCAACGTCAAAGAGCTGTCAACCTCCACCCGTTCAACCAAGGAGTGCAGAGGGAGTAGGAGGGGCCGGGAGTTGGCATGAGAATTTCGACATGTTGACGCGTGCATTGACTTCGCAGGAGGAAGGGTGGCCGGATCTATTCATGAGGCGACGCGAAAAGGCCTAGCTCGGGCCAATCTGGCAGCACTTCGAGTCTGTCACAAGGACTTCTTAGGAAGAAAAGGGAAGAACAGTCAGCATTCAGCATAAGCGATGAGCCAAACTGGAGCTATCAGTCCTGAGGAGCCCATAATTGGTGCAGCTTCCAGGCACCAGGCCGTACGATCGAAGCAGGCGAACAGCAGAACCTCGGCAAGCATCGCTGAAAATGGGCCGGAACTGCTTTTGCAGCTTGTGGCTGCAGTGGCCAAGTTAAGGTGCAGTGCGGCACACTGCGTGCTCCAAGTTGCGACAGCCTCGTACAAAGATGGGACTGGGACCAAAGGCGAGGCATCTACGCGGTGATGCAGTAGTCAGAATGGATCTGAACATGACCCCATGCAGGTATGGGCTGCTCCAGAGCTGGCTGTGCAGTGTCCCACCACCTTGTGGCAGGATTTCCAGGCTCTGCGAATGCAGGAAGCCAACTCCATGCTCAGCGTGTGTGATTGAAGTTTAATCTTGCAGCTGGTGCGACCTCCTTTTATTTCTTGCAGTTTGTACAGCAGCATGCCTTTTGCGACATCCTATTTTCAACTAATTTGCGGAAGCCCGCTTGTGGTTTAGTTCTTTTCTAAATGGCAAGCACATCAGCATAACTCGTGCTGGTGCTGAGCATTTCGTCCTCTCCAAATCCGGAGAGATGGCGAGTGAGCATGCCCAACGCCTGAAGAGGTGGAGTCAAAACCAGCAGCACCCGGTAGCTTTGACATAGCCAGTCGTTGGAGTCAAGGGCTGTTGGCTGCGTCACTTTTCATGTCTGATTTGCTTAGGCCTCCCTTGCACTGCATTGTGTTGCAGCCTTGTCTGAACCCGCTCCGGCTCCAGAAGCACTTGCAGCCTCAATTTGCAAAAAAAACAATCTCTAAGAAATTTGGTGAGGATGGCAAGAAGTAGCAGCATGTGAGCAAAGCGTGCGCCACAGTAGCTTGTGCTCTTATCCTCCTTTCCAGGATGGGTCAGTCCTGCCACGAGTTAGCATTATGTCTAACTCTGCTGTGCAAGCTGACGCGCTTGCTTTGCAAGGTTGCGGGGAACAGCTTACCCCGGAGGCGGGAGGGAGAGAGGGAGAGCGAGAGAGCGCCTGCTGGGTGGGACCTCTAGCACCCGCTTGGACCGGTTCCTCAGCGTGGAGAAGAAGAGAGAGCGACAAAGACAGAGATAGAGCTATTACTGTTGTGTTGAGCCTACTGCGTTTTGATCATCTCCGATCTTGCCATGGAGAAAGCCTTTGCTATGACTATGACCGAACATGTTAGGAGGAAGACCCGCGGCCAGCCGAAGCCACAAGCCTGAGTATTGGCCAACGGGCGCTAAGAAAGTGAAGACCTCGTAAAAGGTTCGTGCCCCACTCACCTCGCGGGGTGGACGTGTCGAGCCGGGGCTTGAGACCTCATACACCGACACGCCTACTCGTGGAGAAGATGGCCAAGTTGGAGAACCCGGAATGGCCGGAAAGTGTCTCCTGTCTACACAGGAGCGATGGAGATGGAGGGTTATGAAGGCAAAAAGTGAGCTCAGGCAACAAACTCGTTTGAGATGAGACGTGAGCCTGCACTGCTGGAAACCGTTTCTCAGGACTCAGGACCCTTCGGAAAGAAGCTACTCTTTTGAGGAAAAAATTCTCCTTAGAGCATCTCAGCTACTATCTGGGACCGCAAATCTTCTGATGATCAGAGCCAGCGACTACTGGGGAGATCTTAATTCGTGCAAGAACAGAACTGGTGTCAGGAACCTGATAATTCTCTGCATTACGCACGCACCTGAACGGTTTAATCCCTGCTGCTAATAGGTTTCCTTTTGGAGAATAATCCACGTTTGATGGGGAGTGACCACTGCCGGGCATTTTGCAGTGACCCAGAAGGAGCCGGCGCGGAGACAACTGAGACCGACATTAACTGCTGGCTTATCACTCGGAGTGAGTAGTGAGTAGTCCTCGTGGTGGGGTTTCAGTCCCGGATGGCTCTCAGATTTCACTTCTGGGCCACTCCGCGGCCTGTTGGTGCTGGTTCACTGATCCTGTGTTGGCGCTTCTCGGCACCTGGAGCTTCAGCGTGCTGGTGACCAGGCTCCCTCTCGCCTTGCAAAATTGTTTGTCGTCTTGTGCGTATCCCTTGCCTCTGGTACCACTACTGGCAGCTTTCTCCCTTCAACAGCGGATGGACAAAGTTTTTCATGCTTTCCTTCCCGCCTTGTACCACGAGTTCACCTTCCTCTTGCTTACCATCCATGATCTCCTGCAGTGAGCCTTCAATGCTAGTCAAGCAGGAATTCCCAATGCTTAGCGACCTGCCCAATTGGGTGCCCGTGATTGCAGCAATCTCTTCTAGGTGGATCCATCCTGACGGTCCTTCGGTGGCCCCTGTCTTCGTTCCCATTGACATGGCGCTGGCCACCGTGCTATTCGCCGCCCACACTGTGCCAGCGACTGATATCTTGGAATGCTCTGCGGGCTCCAGGATCAGCCTCTTGGTGTTAGCCGCTTAAATGTCGCCTGTTTTCCATGGTCCCCGTGGTTGGGACTCCGCGAGAAAAACGAGCTTCATGTTGCGCTTGCTGTCCACGAACCCTGTCTCCTCCTTTGCATTCCTGACTTTCACTATAACCTGCAGGGCTCGTTGACTGTTGATGCATATGCTGCATAGTTGTTCGCTGCTGTTGAGAGACAGGAATAATGGCAAAACCTCTCTTGCTAGGGTGCCGCCTATCTTCTAGAGGAATGCGCCGGCTTTTCTCTCAAGGTTTCCAAAGCATCTTGTCTCGTCCATATCCCCATCCTCCAATACTCAATGTTTTCCTTCCTCTCCATCCTGGTCTTCCGCAGGTTGCTTCCAGATTTCCAGATTTACCTTTCTACCAGTTGTTCCAGATTGTCCAGTCTGCATAGGATGTCCTCGATTTTGCGCGCTGCTGCCTCTTTTACACCCAGGAACCCGCCCTGAGAGGGAGAACTGTGATCACGTTTTGTTTTGGGGTACAGCCTTCGTGGAACACAAGCCAGGGTGTTGACAGGTTCGACTTTTCCTGCATTTCACTGTGGCATGCTTCTGGGGAAGTTTTACACAGATATCTCTTGCAAGCGTAGCTGCAGCCTGGGAATCTGAGAAAGAAATCCTGCCTCTGGACCTGGTATCCGGTGCAGCCCGCCTTGATGACGACATATGATGAAGGGAAGCTCAGGAGATGCCAGGCCGATGGACGTTGACGAGGAAGAAGGGGGCAAGAAGTTGCCAGTGTCTCCAACAACGGGGGGGTAGGAGTCCGGCCAAGAAGGCGAGAAGCCTGTAACCGCCTGCGGGAGAGGTGAGCATCGAAGACATCCAGAAAACCCTGGCGCGTGTACTGACAGGATTACGGGGAACCAAAGATCGTTTCAACGCAGCGGAAGCACAAGTAGCGCAAAAGCTTTGGGAAGGGAAGGACCACTCAGTAGTCTCAGCCGTTGGAGAAGGGAGGGGCTTCATTTGGAACCCGGAGTCAGGAGGCTGATTCCCTGGGCAGCATGTGAAGTTACATCGTTTCTTGTCCGTTTGTCCCTGGGCCCTGAATGGGAAGTACTCGGTGCTCACAGTACCCGCCTGGACAACGCACCTTCCGCGGGCTAGGTATTTGAACCCCTGCTTGCCTGAGAGGTGAGCGCGGCCCATAGAAGCAGAGAACGGAAGAAGAATAAAAAGAAGAAGAAGAAGAATCGTTGCATGGACGCAGCATTGCTTGGCATTCTCATTTGGTCAGGATGTCGCTGTTCTGCAACCGCACCTGCCCGATCAGATGGTTTCGCAGATGCTGAGTCTAAGACAAGCTTCTTACATGTTCATCACGGTGACTTGTCACGCATTCTTGTGGCTCTGCTCTTGATGCCGGTTCAGGCCCGAAGCAGTGCCCAGCATGCAGTGCGATGTTGGCGACGCTCTTCTATTGTCGCCAGAGACGTGCAGCAGGTGTGGGCACGTCATTTGTTGCGAGTTGAAGATGCCAAGCAGCCTCAATGGAAACGGGGCTTAGGGCTTCGGGCTTTAAGCCAACATGTTGCATCTAGGGCCTAGGGGCTTCATCAATTTTCATGGTTATGTCCCGAGTTCAGATTGCTATTTATGTTTGTCTTCTTTGCAGCAGAACTCGATGCAGAACTTGATCTGGGGTGTGCGGATATCGCAATAGTGGCAGTAGCTGCAGGGGACAGACCCACACGTGCAACCAATTAGTGCCTTTGCATCTCTGGGAAGTGGAAAATGCATGCTACGCTGAAAACGGGAGGGCAAAGCTTTAAACTTTGAGTACGTTTCCCACCCCTTGGAGAGGTATGGGTTGAACGGCGGTCGTGAGGTTGGCCTGTGATCTTCCTCTTTTCAGCATCTAGGGCTGAATTGAGCGTGCTGTAGGTTTGAAAGTTCGGTTTTGATTGCTGCGGCTGCTGCTGCTGGTGTCGGTGTTGGTGTCGGTGTTGGTGTCGGTGTTGGTGTTGCTGGTGGTGGTTGTGGTGGTTGTTCTTGTTGGGCCCAGAAAGTCTCCCCATACTTCCAGGCCGAGGAGTTTCCGGCGCGGCCGCTGTTGCGCTGCCATTCCCAAAGTTGAAAACGAAAGTCCAGGTATCTCTTGGTCACTGATTCCTTTGGGCCGCCGGCAGGTTGTGCGAAACAGCAGGCATCGACAAGCTAGCCCCGCCCCTGCTCGTCGCTACTCGTACATCCGCGTATGAGCAGTTTCTGGACAGCAACAAGTTGCTCGGCAGAACAACTTGACCCCTCCACAAGCCGAAGCGGGCAAGACGATGACACTGACGCAACTCTCCGGACCCCAGCCCGCGCACCCCACGCGTGGACAGAAACAAGCCTATGCATGCTGGGCAGCACGCAAGATGATAGCCGCTGGTGCATGGGTTGGCCAGATTTCGAGAGTGGCACAACATGGAGGCAGGAAAAGATTAACAACTCCAATCCGTAAAGCCCCATCTCTAGCCATCCATTCGCAGCTCCTTTCTGCTTCCTGACGCTTTGCACAAGCTATGACAAACTGCACGGAACCTCGGAAGCAGATCATCGCTTTCCCGCTCTGTGGCAGATTTTATGGTGGAAAGGGTCTGGGTTTGCCTCAGTGATTCTGTGGAGCTTGCCCAAGGAGCTCGGCTCATTAGCGAGTGCCTAGATCTGTGGATTCATTTGGGGAAGTCGACGGAAAGAAAGAAGCAGACCATGAAGAATAACAAGAAGAAGAGGAGGAAGAGCAAGAGGAGCAGAGAGAGGGAGAGGAGGAGGAAGAGAAGGGAGAAGAGGAATCAAGAAGAGTAGGAAGAAAGTGCAGAAGGGAGAGAGACAGAGAGAGAGTCAGAGCTGTGTAGTTGCAGTCAAGTAAAGATTGCACAGCAACTAAGTGTCACAGCCGACTCGAATAGCGGGGCGGAAATGGAACCGCAGCCAGCATGTTGATGTATTTGGGAGCACGGGGCGAGCGGGAGCAGTAAGGGGATACAGGAATTGGCTCGTCTCCCTTAAACCGTGCGAACTCCGATCTTCGTCGGTGCCTGCCTTTGCACATTTTGAGCTATGGAGCTTAGCCCCTACATCCTCCTTCTGGGAGACATGCAGCCTGAAAAAGAAGATGAGAGCCAGAGCTCCAAGGTTTGAGACTTGATTTTGGAGTGAATTCCGGATAGTCGAGCCACCTCGCAGTATCATTGATCTGGAGCAAGAGCAGATCCAGGCGCGTTGCCCGTTGGTTGCCAGTGCGCAGGCCCGAAGAGGTCCTCGAAGATTCAAGACGCGCGAGAGCAACCTGGCAAAATGCCTGCACTCTTGCATGAAGTTGCCAGCGAGTTGTTTGTGCATGGACGAGCTTGTGCACAACATCATTTCCACAAGTTTCGGAGCTTCACCAAGGATGGGCCAACCTTGCTAGCAGACCCCCGCCGCCCTCCAACGCACGCGAGGGTCGCATTCTTACGTTTCTCTTGGCCGTCAGTATGTCGTGATGCTTGGCATAGGAGATGTTTGCACACACTTAGCACATACTAGTCAGGCGGTGCAGGACACAAAAGATGCAGGCCTTTGGACCAGCCCGGGTAAGTGCCTACACCAAGAGTTGAGTTCAAAGTTATATGCAATGCTGAAACAAATCTTGGAGAAGGCAGTTTTGCAGCGGTTGCAGTGACTTCCGGAACAGGCCAGATCGCAGCGGAGAAGACCAGGTTGCTGCAGGCAATGCCTTGATGATTGTGGGAGCAACATCTCAACGGAAACCTTATTCTCCAAAATACCTGCAACAGCTGGCCTTCAGGAAGCAGAACGTCTCGTGGATGGAGGTCTTGATGACTGGCTGCGGACTTGGTGCAACGATGAGGTGCTCGCTTTCCTGTTCCCATGAAGGGCATCAGCTGGGAGATCAGCATGCCTGTACGTACTCATGGATAACTGGTGGCCAGGTACTCTGTGCATATTTGGCAGCTTCCTCCAAGGACCAGTAGATTTGAGATACCCGTTCCCTGTTGGCCAAGCGAGGGCCGCAACAACGCACGAGTTGAGGAGTCCGCAGTGACGTCTTTAGCCACGGCGCTGAACTGGCGACGGCGACACAAGGAGGTGCTGGTGGGCTCGCGCACACCATGCTGGCAGGCTCGTGGCATGGGTCTTGACATACGCGATGCATGTCAGTCAAAATTGAAGCAGCCAGGGCGACATGCGCGTTGTGGCACGTGGTGCGTTGGGACATCCAGTGTCCTCGGGCTCGATTTTTTTGCATTGCTTTGTGAGCACAGTGCCTCTCTGGTTGCGCAGCTTCAGACTAAGGATTTTCATGTCCATGCAACACCAGCCATCAAAGTCAAACAGATGCTCGACCAGACATCCTTCGGTCATGGACTGTGTCTGAGAACCAGACAGGAATTCCTTAATGCGATTGAGGCACAAACGCAGCAGAGCACATGGCCGCCGTGCTGGAGGCTGCATGTGCAGCTGGCAGAGGAGCATGGGGCTTTGATGTGGCGCCTTGGTGCAATGTGTTCCTGATGAAGCTCTGAAGAAAACGATCAACAATTCTATGCAAGGTGTGTGACTGCCGTGGTTTCCAGCTCTCCAAGAATCTAGATCCGCGCCCTGCTGTGTCAGCTGTGGAGGTCTAGCCTGGAAACTTTTAAAATCTTTTAAATTTGCTTGACTTTGCCAAGCCCATTCTGAGAGCTCGGCGCAGTGCTTTCGCTGTGCTTGTCCCTGTTGAGATGTTGAAACATGCTTATCGCGGACGAATGCGTCGTGCTTTTCTGGTTGGAGCTCCTGTGGCCTTTGGCGGCTTTTGGAAGCTTGTGAAAGGGTTCCTTGACTCCATTACAGTTATCAGCTGTGCAGTGCCGAGCTCCTCAGTTGTTATTCTTTGAGAATGCAAGGCTGTTGCCAAAGCCAACGCAGGACACATCGTGGCATGTGCTAGTTACTTGTAATGCCGCACATGGGAGCATCTGTGGCAAGGTAGGCCAGGTAGGCCAGCACCTGATGCTTTGTGCATGCACACCTTTGGCTCCAAAGGTCTCTGCTGGCAGCTTAATTATCTTATTTGAGTCTTGCAGGCCCGCCATTAGCAGCTGCCAGCCTGCAGACTCAGCGTCCCGGTGTTTGAGAGCCCCACCCTCCTCTGCCAACATTTCCGGGGACCATCTGAAGAGATTTCCCTGCATTGAGGGATTCACAGCAGGTGCCCACTCTCTATGTTAACATTGTAGCAGCGTGCGTCGGTGAGTGTTGTGCCTTCCTATGCCATGGATCCATCCTCGACGTTTTGCTCCACACAGTGCTCGTCGCAGCCCACATCCCCCGAGCCGCAGAGGCAACTGCCGCTTCCGCTGCAGTTGCCATCGCGTTTGTCTTGTTCACAGGTGGTTTGTGTGGTTGATTTTCTCCAAGTTCTTTTTTTGTCTTGTCGTCATCATCGTTTGTTCTTGTGGTTGCTGTGATGGTCGTGGTGGTGGTGATGGTGGTGGTGGTGGTGGTGGTGGTGGTGGCGGTGGGGGTGGTGGTTGTGGTGGTGCTGGTGGGGGTGGGGGTGGTGGTGGTGGGGGTGGCGGTGGCGGTGCTGGT